TGCAGTTATCCATTTTTTCACCGTATAAAGATCATTTTCTTAAAAACCGAAATTGAATTGAATCGATCCACATTTTAAAACTTACAAAAGGGATCGAACAATTGAACCGATTTTATAAAATGGATCGATTTGGAGTTATTTTTTCAAAATGGATCGGATCGATTTCAATCAATTTGGATTTTTTGCATAGCCCTAGATGGTAGTCAATGAATGTGTTGACAGAAGAACATTATCGTTGAAAAAATCGTGGCAACCGAGATAAAACTCATGGAGATTCATGACGGATGAACATTAAATTTGAACACATCGATGCGATCTAGTCGGTTTGTACCCTCGGTGGATTCTGTACCATCGATTTACTCGGTAGACGGTTTAATTGATCCATTTTTTATAAAGTAGATCAGTTTTTTTTTTAAATATGGATCAACTATTTTGAAATTGAATGAATTTAATGCGGTGTAGTTATTCATATTTTACTGTATAGGGATCATTTTCTTAAAAATCCCAAATTGAATTGAATTGATCTACTTTTTAAAAGTTACAAAGTGGATCGAATAATTGAACCGATTTTATAAACTGGATTGGTTTAGAGTTATTTTTTCAAAATGGATCAGATCAATTTGAAACAATTTGGATTTTTTGCATAGCCCTATGGGCTAATATATTAATAAAAGGTTTATTGAAGAACACATCGTCTTCGTATGTTATGTCTTTCATTTCATTAATTTGTCATGGATATTATTTTATTATTATTGTCGCCATCTTTTTGCCTTGATGCTAGCTTTTGTTGGTGTCAAAATGGGGCGTAGTAGGAGAGTAGTAAAATTGTGTTTAGTTTTAAAACCTTAGAAGTTTTCGCTCCATCTTAGGGGGAGTGGTCTAGAAAACTCTTTACAATGCATTTTTATTCATTGATGATATACGCTTAAAATATGCTTTGATTAAGTATTGATATGCTCTGATTAAACATTCTAGATATGCTCTAAGCGAATATTCTATAGTTTGTCATGTTTGAATAATTTACAATTTGGTACAACAAAATATTGATCTGCTCTAATTGGACAATCTTTATCATGATATGCTTTGACTGAATAGCATATGCTCTAATAAAACAAAAGATTCACTTAAATAAACTTAAGTATTTGACATGCTCTACATAATCTTTAATAAAAATAATGGATACTAAGTTTCACTAAAAAAACTTAGGAGAGATGGGAGAACACCAAAGATTTCTCAAGACACTCCTAGAAGGTCAAATACAAATACAACAGGAGCAAGGAATATAAAAAGTTAAGCAACAAAAGTATACAAATGAAACACAAATGAGACAATAATGAAACGAAATTGAAATGAAATTCAAGCAATTTAGAAATAGATTTAGTGACAGATTTTGCGACAGATGGGCTTACAATGGAAAATTTTCTTCTTTAATTCTGTTGCTATTCCCCGTTTTGAAATTTTCCCTACAAAATGAGCATACAGGGTAGCCTCACAAGC